GTGGGGTCTGCGTCACTGCCCCTCCGGCAGGGCGAGCCCCCAGGGGTCTCTCGGGCCCTCGGAGCTGGAAGCGGGGAGGCTTGAGGAGCAGAAACCAGATGGCGGGCGAGGACCGGAACCTGCGGTGGGCCCCGCTCTGGGGTGCCGGCCGGGTTGGGGGGCGGCCCCCTCTGCGTGTGCTTCCTGGGATAGGACGAGGCGCCTCTGGGGGGCCCGGCGGCGGGACCGCGGTACGAACCGCGGTACGAACCGCAACCCAGGTAGGCGCCTCCAAACCCTGCCCCCAGGTTCCTGCACCCCGCCCCGTGAGGTGAGGACGGCCGGATATTTTGAGGGTCACACAGCCAGGGGCAGCGCCCGTGGCCTGGGGTCCCTGACCTGTCTCCAGTCCTCCTGGTCCCTGTCCCCCGGGAGCCAGGGCGCTTGCACCAGAGGAGCCTCGCCAGCAGCAGCTGCGTTTTCTCGTCCCCACAGCCCGGGCCCGGGGCCCCTTCCTCCAGGCACAAGGGCCGGGGCAGGCGGCCCCCAGCAGGGGCTGGCTGGACACTCCGGTGCCAGCCCCTCTCCTCCCCACCCCCGCCCATGGCTGGGGGGCTGGCGGGTCACTGAGCCCTGCGTTCCTGGTGAGGAGCCCAAGGCTCCCAGCTCAGCGGCAGCATGGGGGGCGGGGGGGGCAGGAGAGCCTGGGGTGCCCAGGCCAGGTGCAGCCTCCCCTGCGGGTGGGTGGGCGAGCAACATTGGGGTCCGCTGTCCCCTGAAGGCCTGCATGTGGGGTTTGAGCAGGCAGCATCCAGGCAGGAAGCGGGTGGGAGGAGCCAGAGGTCAGGTCGGTCAGCTTTCCCCGGAGCCCCGTGTCAGAAAGGTGGGGTCCTGGCCCGGCCCCCTCCTCCTCCCCGGAGCGGGGATGTGGACCCCCTTGGCCACTGCTGACCTTGACCTCTGTGGGCCCTGATCTCTGTGTCCCGCCCACACCAGGCTCATTCAGCGCTGGGGTCCCCCAGGGGCAGGCCCCCCACCCCCGCCGGCAGGTGCTGACGGGGGCCTGGGCCCCAGGAGGGCGGCCCTGCAGCGGGAGGCCAGTGCGGGAGGGCTGGCCCTGCCCCACCCCGCCCACTGCTGGGCTGCGGGGCTCAGGGCGGGCGGCGGTTGTGTGGCGGACACTCGAAGCTCGGGGCTTTGCTAAGTCTGCCTGGAAGTCAGGTGCCGGAGGCTCCAGCAGACGCGCCGGCAGGGGCCTTGTGGAGCAGGGAAGGGCCGTGGCGACGCCCACCGCGCGGCCTCCGTCAGGGGCTCGGGGTGCGCGGGTCCTGCGGGCAGGTGCCCGCCTGGCCGCCACCTGCCCAGCCCCAGGCCGTGAGAGGGGCCCCCGGGGGCAGGGCCGCAGCCCCCAGGCCCTGCTGTCCCGGCCCCGCCGCCCACTTGGGAGCTGCCCAGTGCGTCCCCTCCTCGTTTTCTTTCTGTGCTGCTTTCGCTAAAGCACGTGGGGCCGGGGCCAGCTGGGGCCTGAGTGCCTGGAAGGGCGGGCGGGGCTGCAGGGCTGCCAGGGGTCATTTCCCTTTTCCGAGAAGCTTTGGCACCAAAGCTTGCCAAGGTTTCGTTTTAGGGGGCTGTGTCGGGGAAAAGAAAGTTAGCAAATCTCTGCCACCTGCGATCACTTTCCGATCTGGCCCAGCCCCTCCTCCTGGGAAGCTGCCCACCTCCCGGTGAGGAGGCGTGAGGGGCGGCCCAGCTGGGAGCAAAGCAGCCAGAGGTCAGGGGTCAGGCCCCAGCAGGGCATGGCCTGCGGCTCCCGGCGGGGCAGAGCCTGAGTGCAGAAGGCCGCGGGGCGGCCAGTGGGGGCACACGAGCAGGGGACGCGGGCCCCCCGGGGCCGCAGCGTGCTCAGGCCTCCGGTTCTTTCTGCCGAGACTTCTGTGCGGCCCCAAGGAGAGCCCCTCAGCCGTGGGTGCTAGTCAAGCCCAACCAGGCGGGTTTGGAGGAGCCTTGATGGGAAAAAGCCCAAGATGTGGAAAGGCGCACGGAGCTGGGGGCCAGGCCGGGGGGCGGGGGCAGTCGGGGTCTCTGAGCCAGGCAGGGCCGGGGGCCTGTACAGCCCCGCAGGGCAGAGGTGCCCCATCTCGCAGCCCCGGGACCCGGCTCCGCACGCAGGGCCGATCCGAGGAGGACAGACCCCGCCACCGAGGGGCGCCTGCAGGCACCGGCCCAGGCGTTGCTCTGCACAAGCCGCACAGTCCTCAGGGCGCCCCGGGCTGGCGGGGCGGGGTGGGGAGCGGGGCCACCTCTGCAGAGCCCCCTGGGCTGAGGACTGAGGAGCGGGCCATGGGGGGAGGGGAGGCCGGCCCACACCCAGCCCACCGAGTGAGGCACCGAGTGCGGCACCCAGTGCGGACGGACGGGACCAGCCCCGGCGCTCACAGGGCTGGCTGAGCCTGAGCGCGGAGGGGCAGGCAGGCTCTCCTGGAGCTGCCCAGGCCCCCGGGGAGCGGCTGGGTCTGGGGGGAGAGGGCCTGAGTGCCCCCAGCCAGATGCCCCCCAGAAGCCAGGAGGGGCCCCTGTGTGGAGCCAGGGCCACAGGGAACTGAAGTGGACAGTGGACAGCCTTCCCCCCCTGGGGACGCGGGAGGTGCTGGGTCTGGGAGGGGGCCATCCTGGGGGCTGGTCCCCCACCTGGGAGACCCGGGCGGCCCCAGGTCTGCCTGGAGGTGAGGGGGCGCCCAGCTGTAGAAAGGAGGAGGCCCTGCCCCCTTCGTTCCCCCAGAACCCCAAGTCAAGCAGCACGGGGGGTGGGGGGGCAGGCATGTGGCCCGGTCTCTGAGGCCCAGGACTGTGCCCCCGGGGTTCTCAGAACCTCAGCGGCGGGGCCAGGAAGTCACCTAGCAGGCCGCCCCCGAGGCCCACCCCGTGGCCTGTACCGTGCGCCCACAGCCAGGGCCCTGGACGCAGCCGGCACCCCCAGGCGGGCCTCAGCCACCGGGAGCCCTCAGCTGGGCCCTCCGGCGTCCTGATATGCGGGCACAGAGACGGGGACCAGAGTCGCACCCTGTCTCTCTGGGCCTCAGTGTCCCCAAAGGTGCCCTTGGCCAGAGCCCTTGCCTGGCGGCGCTGGGCAGGGGACAGACGGCAGTGCCCAAAGGCCCCAGGCGGGGCGAGGGCTGCTCGTGGGCCCAGGCCGGGGCGGTCGGAGTGGAGACAGGGTGGGGCCCGGGGAAAGGACGCCCTCGGCCGCCTCCCTCCTTTCCTCCCTCCTCCCTGCAGGGCAGGCCTGTGCAGGTGGCCTTGCCCCGGGGCTGCTCCTGCCCGCAGGGTCGCACCGGCGGGGCGGGCACTCGCCCCAAAGCCCCTGCTGGGCCGCGGGCCTGCGCCCTGGCCCAAGCTCGGGTCCACCCGCCCACGCGCCCCGACGCTCAGGGCTGAGCTTCCTCCTCTCCCTGCTCACCTGTCGCCCCCTCAGAGGCGGGCGGGGGGCACATGGGGCCCTTCTACCCGCAGGCGGGACAGGCGCTGGCCCCTGTGGCCTTGGCTTTTGCTTCTCTGGAACCCGTTAATGGCCACGCCTCCCCAGGACCGTCTGTCCACTGCCAGAGTGGCCAGCACCCACCCCACCTTCACAGGCATCGCTGGACAGGGTTCTGGGCCCCGGGAGCCTGGGGCAGGCCTGGCAGGGGGCCCGGGGGGGCTGTGCTTCCTGAATTCACTGGGCAGAGCTGTCGCAGGTCTTGGGGACACGCTGCGCTCCGGGCCCCCCTCGGCCTGTGGTTAGGCGGCCGCCCCGTCTCTGCCACCGTCCTGTGGGGAGGCTCGGCGTGGGGAGACGCCTGTGAGCGCTGAGTCCGGGGGCTGCGTGTGCCTGACGGCGCCTCCAGCCACGGGGCCCACCCCCTGCCCTCAGGGCGCACCGGCCCTCCCGCAGACCCCCGCCCGGCGGGACTGAGTGGGGGACCCCGCGCCGGACATGAGTCTCCCCAAGACGAGCTTAGCGGGTGCCCGCTGGACAGTCCAGTGGGCGGGTGGGTGGGACAGTGGACTGACGGAGGACCGCGAGGTGGGTGCCCCAGGCCAGCCCAGTGCCCTCAGCTGGGTGACGCGTGGGTGACGGTCACAGGGCGGGGGGCGGGGGTGCTGCACGGCCGCTTGTCGGCTCTCGGAGCGCCCTGCCGCTATTCCTGGGAGAAGGCAGGGCGGGCACAAGGAGGGGGGCTCCAGCAGCCTGCGCAGGTGCCCGGCGGGCAGATGGGCCAGGCTGGGACGTCGGCCACGGCACCGGCAGTGGCTCCTCAGGGGCCCCCAGCCCTGCCCTGCCCACCCCATCCCCTCCCGCCTCCTGCCCCCTGCCCCCGCCCTCAGGCGCGGCCCCTCAACACCCCTGCATGGGCCACATCTGCAGGCCCAGCAGGCGGGCGGGGGTCTACGTGTTCTGTGGACAGGGTGTGCGGCTGGGCAGCTGGGCCATGGGACGCGGGCCAGGCCTCTGGCCCTGCTGGAGCCAGGTGAGAGCAGCCACAGCATCGGAGCTCCTGGGGGGCGGGGGGATGGGCAGGCCCTTCGCGCTTCCGCCTGCCCCGACTCCCGGCCGCCTCAACCTCCACCCGAGTGCCAGGACCCAGCCGCACCATCGCTCCAGCCTGCGCCCGCCTGCTCTCTGCGCCTGGAGGGCCTGGCGCCCTCTGCCTGGCAAGCTCCTCGGCGTCGTCGCTTCTCGCGGGTCGGCCGGGCGTCCTCGAGGAGAGGCCAGCCCCACACGGCCCCAGGCGTGGGGTGGCGCTGCTGGCCCCCGGGGCCTCCCTCCACCCTCCCCAGACTCCGCAGCCTGCCCCTGCCCGCTCCTCCCAGTGCCACGGGGGTGGGCCGGTGGCTGGCAGCCTCCCACCCGACCGTCCGGCCTGCGAGGGGGAGCCGGCCCACCCGCTCCACACTGCTGCCTCCTCACAGGAACCAGCGGCCCTTCTCCCACTGGGCCTCCCAGTCCAATAAACACAGTACATCCATTACATACAAAACAATTTAATTGAAATCCCAGTATAAAAAAATATGATCTGCAGACATCTTGCTTTTAAACTGGAAGAACCCCCGTCCCCGATGCCTGCACACCAGGACCACAGACACACAGCTGCTAAAATAAATTAAAGGCTTGAGACTCTGTCCCCCCACCCCCGGACTTCCAGAGCCAACAAGCAGACTGTACAAGATCAATAACTTAAAACCCACCCCCTGGGACGCAGAGCCCAAGGGGGCGGAATCAGCCGCGCCCGTAAAGCAGCCCCTGTACACGCCGGTTCCCCGGCAGGCGCAGGCTTAGACGGGGGTCCACCCGACCCCGCCTCCCTTCCCCGGGGGCCTGGTGGGGCGGGCTGCTGAGGAGGACCCTCCACAAATAAATTAAACAATAAATAGCCCTCTGCGGGGGTCACACCATAAATAAGACGTTCGCGGCCCGCGGGCGCCAGCGTGGGCGGCGGAGGCCGGAACGTTGCATTGCTTGTGCACGGACACGCCCGGGCGGACACGGAGAAACGAGGGCGGGCGCGGGAGGTGGGTACGCGGGGCCCGGCCCCGGCGAGGCGGGGCCACAGCACGAGAGTGCTCTTGGTCCAGCTTGGTCAGACGGGGAGGTGCGGGGGCCCGCCGGGCCGCCCTCCGGAAGCACAGGACAGGGACAGTCTTGGGGCCCAGCACCCGCCCACTGCGGGCGGACGCTGCTTCCACCGAGGTCTTTGGACAGGCAGACAGAGCTTGAGAAAACCAAGTCCCGTGAGAGCAGCGTTCGAAAAGGCACTCAAAGCAAAGGGAAGGGCCCGGTGCCAAAAGTAAAGGTCACCCGGGGTCAGAGGTCACTGCTGTCTCCAGGAGCGGCCAGCCCCAGCAGGAGACACCCTGCGGAGGGCGGGGCAGGCGGCCTGTCCGGCTCCCACGAGCCAGGCGCCGCGGGCTCCTCACAAGCTCTCGCTGCTGGAGGTGGTGCTGGCCCCGTCATCCGCGTCCAGGGAGCAGAGGCGAAGGTCACAGTTCTCCGAGCTGCCCCCGTCCGCCCCCAGCATCCAGGGGTGGGCGGAGATTTGGTCCAGGGAAGGCCGCTCCGAGGGCCGCAGGGACAGACACCACTGGATGAGCTGCTGGCACTCTGCGAGGGACCGAGGGCAGTCAGGGGGGGGGCCAGCTCCCCGGTGCGTCACCCGTGCCAGCCCTCCCGGGACCCTGCACGCACCTGGGGAGACCCTCCTCCGGAAAAAGAGGCGGCCCCGCAGGATCTCGTCGTCCTGCTCGAAGGGGATGTCCCCGCAAACCATGTCATAGAGCAGCACGCCCAGGGACCAGACAGTGGCCGAGCGCCCGTGGTAGCGGTGGTAGCGGATCCACTCCGGGGGGCTGTACACTCGGGTGCCTGCGGAACGCGCAGGGCGGGGGGGGAGGGTTAGGACCCAGCACCAAGCGCACACGAGGCCCCGCGCTCCCGGTCAATCCTCCCAGAGGCCCGGGCCGGGAGGGGGAGCCAGCCTCCAGCCTCCGATCCTGCTAGTCATCAGCCTGGAAAAACCCCGCGGGCGTGGCCTCCCCCGCAGGGGGAGGAGCGGTCACATGGGCGCCGGCTCGGGTTTCACAACAAACAGATGTGAGGTGAGGACGGGGGAGGGGAGAGACTGCAGGGAGCGACGGCGGCGGGGGAGAGGAGGAGGAGGAGGGCGGGTGAGTGGGCGGGCGGCGGGGAGCCCCGGCTTCCCCGCGCTCCGCAATGCGGGGATTTCTGCTCCCGCGGCACGCACGCAGCCCCCGCCCCCGCGCCAGGAGGCCCGCGCCGCGCCGGCTCCACCCGCACCGGCGCCCCAGCGCTCCCCGCGCAGACTCACACGCAGCCACCGCGACTCCGCGGCCCCCCGCCCCCACCCCCCACGAGTGGGCTCAAGTCCCGGCTCAGCGCGTACGCGAACGTGCCCGAGGCGGCGCGGGCTCAACAGCCACCAGGCCCCCACCGCGGACGTTAGTTCCGGCCGTTGGCGTGCCCCGCGGCCCTGCCCGCGCTCACCGTCGAAATCCGTGTACACTGTGTCCTTGAGCAGCGCGCCGGAGCCGAAGTCGATGAGCTTGAGCTCCCCCGAGCGCAGGTCCACCAGAAGGTTCTCGTCCTTGATGTCGCGGTGCACCACCCCGCAGGCGTGGCAGTGGCGCACCGCGGCCAACACCTGCGCGAAGAAGCGGCGCGCCAGGGGTTCGTCGAGGGCGCCGCGCTCCGTGATGAAGTCGAAAAGGTCCTGGGCCGGCTCCGGCCGCTCGAGCACCAGCAGGAAGCCGTCGGGCCGCTCGAACCAGTCCAGCAGGCGGATGACGCCGCGCGCGCCGCCCGCCGCGCCCACCTTCCGCAGCAGCACCACTTCGAGGGGCACAGCCGCACCGCCCTGGGAGACACGGCGGGCGGTCAGAGCGCACAGCCCGCGGCCCCGACCCGGCCGCCCGGCCGCCCGGCCGCCCTCCGGGCCCCGCACTTACGATGCTGCCCCATTCGGTCACCCGCTCCTTCACCACGTGCTTCACGGCCACCTGGGGGAACGCAAGGGGGTCAGGCTGGGACGAAGCGCGCGCTGGGCGAGAAACCCGTGTCCTCCCGGCAGCCCGACTCACCGGGAGCCCGTCGGCGATGCGGTTGCCCGCGTAGACCGTGCCGAAGCCGCCGCTGCCCAGTACGGCGCCCACCTGGTACACCTTCTCAAAACTCTCCTTGTCCGCCTTCGCTGTGGGGACGGCGGGGTGTGGTTGGTGCGGCCCGACGCGCCCCCGACCCCTGGTCCCCCAGCCCTGGGTGCCTCCGGCCCCTCGACCCATCCGACCCCTGGGTCCCCCGCTCCCCGGTCCCTCGCCTACCCGGCTGCAGAATCTTCACCGGGAGGTGATCCACGCCGCCCGGCCCGCAGAGGTGCGCCAGAGAGCCAAACTTGGAGAGCAGCATCGCGGGCGGCGGCGGGGCGCGGGCTCTGCGCCGCCTCTCGCCGGGCTCGGCTCCCCGCGCGGCTGCGGACGCGAGAGGGCGGCCGCCCCGGGTCGCGCGGAGACCCGAGCCCCCGACGGCGGCGGGCGCGGGTGGGCGGGCGTCGCGGGAACAGCGGCCCTTGGAGTGCCGAGACTCGCGCGGGCGAGGCCGTCGCGCGGCGAAGTGGCCCCGGCTAAGCCCGCGTGGACCTCGTATACGCACAGCAGGCCGAACGGCTCACACGCCCCGGCCGTCTCGCCCGGGGCTTTTGGACCGCGGACGCCCGTATCCCTCCGCGGGGGCGGGGCGGACAAGACGCCCTCCCTCTTCTGCCGGGTTCTGCGCGGGAGGGCTGCCTCCGGAAACCCGCGAAAGGAGCCGCGGCGACTGCGGGGCGAGGCTGGGCACGTCCCCCCGGCGTCGATGAGGTCCGGTGGGCGGGGGGCGCGGCGAGCCTCCCGGGACTAACTCGCTGTAGTAGAGTCGCGGAGGCACACAGCGTGTCACGTCCCTTCCTTGAAGCTTACACACAAGCTTTGCGCACGCGCAGCTCCCGCGCGGGCGGTGGCCGAGGTGTGCGGGGAGGGGCCGCGGGAGCCAATGGGAGCAAGGAGTTTCAAAGGGCATCCGAGCCCCAGCCAATAGCGGCGCGCGGGCGGGGCGGGAACTCGTGGGGGCCCGCCCAGGCCGCGTCTGGAAGGTCACCCGCGACACGCGCGCCGCCTTCTCCGAGCCCGGAGGGGGAGGCTGGGCCGTCGGTTGCGTGAGCGTGGGGTCCCGAGACAGAGTAGGAACTTGGAGGCGCCCCGCGCCCCCCAAGCTCTGTGCGTGCGCTGTCCACGCTGGGAGGTGGCCGCGCCCCCGGGTACCGCGCCAGCAGCAGCGCCCCAAGACTCTGGCCACCCCGGGGTCGCCGTTCTAACCCAGGCTAGACCTCAAGCCCGCATCCCGAGGTCCCCTCCCTGACGCGCCTCCTTTCTTGGACCCTTAGCCCTGCCTTCCCCGCGCCTGGAACGCCCTCCCCTGCTCTGCATTGTGGCTGCCCCTCCCGGCCCAGACGCTGACCACCTCACCACCTGGCCACCTGGACCACTGCAGTCAGGGCCCGAGCCAGCGTAGGGCCGCATGGCCTGGCGAGCCCCACCCGCCCCTCTGTCTCGAGTACTACACAGACGCACCTGTGCGGCGTGATCCACCCGCACCGTTGCCTGCCTTGGCCCAAGGTCGCTGGCCTGGGCGGCTCAGGGACTCATCATCACAGCAATCACATACCGCAC